AAATGGTAAAAATCAGATGTTTAAAAACTCAGCAGCGTTCAAAAACTGTAAAAATAACTGCAAGTATCTGTAAAAATAAGAATATTTTCGATGATTAAAGTACATTAAAACAGTCTAATTTTACAGTTGCACATTATGGCAGTGCAAATTATTATTTACATATTTGTATACTATGTAAATTTGACATTATCTACAGTTTTTTCTTCCTGTTTTTTATAGTCGACATGCAAACGAATCCCTTTTTTCAGTGATTTTACGAAATATTATAGGTAATTTAACAAAACAGGGAAAAATCTGTAAATAACACTTACTATTTTTAATGACCTCTGGAACACGGTAGTGTTCAAAAACTGTAAAAACAGTCACAATAACTGCAATTGTGTGCAAAATAATTTTATTTTAGCTGATTTAAATACATTAAAATAGTTTAATTTTACGGTAATGCATTGTAGCAGAACAAATAATTATTTATATTTGGATACTATTTAAATTTGACAGTTTTTTTCTTCCTGTTTTTATTCATTTTTTATAGTCGACATGCAAACGAATCCCTTTTTTTCCTGTGATTCTACTAAATATCATCTGCAATTTAACAAAACGGAAAATCTAAAACATATAATAAATAACTCAAACTTTTTACTTTAAAAATGCGGTAATCTTACGAATAAAAACTGTAAAAGAGCAAATTACCTGCTGTTAAAAACACAGATTTGTGATGTGAAATTATTTACAGCTTTGGCCTGTTTTTAATATTTAAAATATAAATTAATACTTTTTTCCTGTTATTTTACTAGTTATTTTCTGTAATTTAACAAAACAGGGCAAATGTGTAAAATAACAGTTAATTGTTTAAATATTACAGTATTTTAAAATGTGAGATTTTTTACAGTGTGGTTAAGGTTGAAAGAAAATCAATGTGATTCAAACCAAACCAACAGTTTCAGTCAACTTTTGTTCTATACAACAGCAGAAAACAGTAAAAAATGGGATTTAAATATTCTACAGCTCAACATTATCTCCTCAGAGGCTTTGTTTTGTAAAAGAACAAAGTTTTAACTTCCTGTGATTTAAAGAAATGCAGCGAATTCTCACATCTAAGAACATAAAAAGGTGAAAATGTAGGAATAATTGATTATAAGCTGATGAACCCCCGTCTGACAGAGCAGGTACAAAAACATGAATCTCACAGGAGCAGAGATGCTTCGTATCAGATTAAGCTACCAGATCTTTTCCATCTGCAGTCCCAGAGCAGGGAGGAACACGAGGAAATATAAAACACTAAACCACATCCAAGGTACCAGATAATAACAAGACAATATGAGCCAGCCAAACCCCACAGCACACACACAGCACACACACAGCACACACACACTCCTCCATCCAGCCCCATCAGTACATAAACAGGACATAAAGATCAGATGTTGTGAAGCTTTGAAATCCTGTAACGTCATCACAGTTCTGATTTTCCATAACACTAATGAAACAAACGGCCACTTCAGGCTCCCGTCAGGTTGCCAGACTTCCAGAGATTTGAACAAAGTGCTAACTCTGCTAATGCTTCCTCATGACTTACTGCATTTTCTGCAGATTTATGTGGGGCTTCATTAGTTTTTTTTAGAGAAATATACGCAACCAGCCTTCATCACATCACATTCCTGTAAAACCAAAGTGTTCTCAAATGTTCTGAAGGGAACTTGTTTTCTGCTGGATTACGTTTGGAACACATCCCAGATACATTTCTACTTAATGCATCTTTTAATTTACAGCTTCACTGCTGCTGCTTTTCAGCCAACCGATCGTGTATTAGACGGACTTGTAACCGTGGCAACCCAGAAAATGGAGGAGACGCTTCAGACATGTAGAGAAATATTTTAACCCAAACCCAAGTATTTTGGTGGCTAAACTTAACCAAGATTCTAATATAATCTGTAAAAGTGTCAAACAAAGCCAGATATAATACAAAATACAACAATGTTGTTTCCTGAACCGAACCAGAGCGTTGAAAGTAAACATGGAAGGAAAACTAAACTTAATCCTGAGACTGAAGGTCTTCTGGGGGAACCTTCAGCCTCCTTTTCCACCTCAACACAGCTCACAATTCACATTTACTTCAAAACAAAACTACAAATTCTTCCTTCAAAGACTTACTCTGATGAAAACGTGAACATGTCCAGGACTCGCTGAGGATTTCCACCTTGATTATGCAGATGACGTCTCAACAAACCTGAACAAACAACGCTGTCGGCTAACTCGTTGAGTTACCTCGATAACACAGCTTGACATCGTGTAGCGTGGAGCAGTTTTACAGTGTCGAGGATTTCAAAGATCTGCACTTTGGAGCAGTTTTGACGCAGGTTGGGATTATTTTTACAGATTAAACCTCTAAATATGTAACTTTGACACACAGATGTGAGTTTTTAGGGATTAAATCAACAAGCAAAGAGGATTTAATTGAACTTCTGGATGATTCTGCACATTTTATTTGGTCGTGTTTTCTTCCTCCTGTTACATAAAGGCCTCCCTTAATGACACGAGCTGTTTAGGATAATAACTAGGAAGGGGTTTCACAGTGTGGCTTTCATAACAAATATTTTACAGTGTCTAATGTTGCGGTTTATCACTTTAACAGCCGAGCTGGAAACTACGGTGTTGTGTAACGGCCCTCGGAGCTCCTCGGCTGTGGTTCTGCCCGAGACTCTCCCAAGTGTGATTTGTAAATGTACGAGTGCGAGGCGGGGCGGTGATGAAAGAGCAGCACAACAGCCTCCTGGGTGAACGCAGGTTAAAAGGCGCAGAAAGCAGGGGGAACGCAAGGTCTGTGGGACGCAGGGAGGCTGCTGAACGCCTCGAAATAACAAAAACAACGTAAAGATGTCGAGGATGTGGGGAGGGGAGGAAGATGCCAAGGGAGTGAGGAAGAGGAGGAGGAGGAGGAGAGAGGGGGGGAGATAATGGAGGAAGAGGAGAGGAAGGAGGGGTGCTGATGAATAATCCATCAGCCAATATAAGAGGTAGCAGTTGGATGTTGCTCTGAAGATGCTAAATCTGTTGGTGGAGGCTTTCTGAGCAAATATCACATGAACCACAGAAGAAGAGGAACACACCCAGAGCTGGCAACTGATGACACTAATCACTCCTAACATGTCCTGTATACAGTAGCGTGCACAGAATGCAAATAATGGTTCTGAAGGAGCCTTGCTGTGCTTTATATCATCAGCTTCCCTTTATCTTCCTGTTCGTGCAGCTTCTCTGCTGTTTTTTTGCTGCTGCAGCCTTTTTTTTCCCTCAGAGATGGATGGATGTGGATAGGAGCAGTGATTGCAGGGAAAAACAAGGGAAGCCCCAGAAAGAGCTGCAGAGCTGAAGACGGAGAGGAAAAGCCCAGGGAAGCCCCGCTGCAGCTCCTCGGAGCAGCAGCAGGAGGAGGAGGAGGATCCCCACTTCTCAGTGCTGCAGTCCAGCTGTTAGACCGGCCCCCCTCATTACAACTACAGCCAAGTTCATCAACTAGTTTACATTTATAATCAGGCGCTGTGCAGTCCCCTCTGAGCCCTGCAGAGCTGCCTCAGGCTCACAGCAGAGATAAAAACAGAAGAAACGCTCACACAGGCTATTAGCCTGATTAGAAATCACTCCTTGGTCACATTTAGAGGAATAAATACTAAATATTTAACACATGCATGTTTGCAAACACATGAAAGTGGCAGAGAAATGTGCCATCATGTCCTTCAAATGTTGTTTCCACAATAAAAGATTGTTTGTCTGAAGCTGCATCCGTGATTACATCGGCTGAGCTCGCGTTACGCAACATGAAGCAAGTGAACGGAGCCCTGCACAAGTCTCTGCTCCGTGTAAACGCTCCACAGCAGCCGAGTCTGGACCGATCTGATGGAGGACACGAGCTCATTAGGCTGTAATGAATTGGAGTCGGGCGCCGTTAAGGTGGAGACTCGTCCTCCGAGCAGCCCGAGCAGGAGGGAAACCCTGCTGGACGGAGCGACGCGCTGCGTAAAGGCTGATGGAAAGGCGGAAACCAGGGAGGGAGCTTTAACAATAAAACCAGAAAGGAGGAGGGAGCGTGAAACGGAATGTTGACCATAACATATAATTAGATTGAGTGTGTTTTGATTTTTGAGACAGATGAAGGTGATTTAATGAAATAAGAGCAAACAATCCGTCCACAGGCTTCAGCAGCTCATGCGTTTTTCTCATAAAGCTGCTCGGTAGTTTTATTTTGAAAGTCCAACCAGAAGTGCTGCGTGTCTGTCCGCTGACTTGTTTCTGCACCGAGAGGCGCAGTGTCATCAGAGAATTACTACTACAGGCTCGCAGCCTCACCAGGCACACAAACGCACACGGTTACGCACCGTTTCTGCGGTAAGTCGCACCTGTCATGTGTCTGAACGGGAACCTGGTTCTGGAGACCCTCTGACAAAGTTCTCCTCTGCAGTAATTAAGGCAGTTCCGGCACAAACAGCGGAGTTCGGGCTGTTGTTGATCGGTGCGCTCTCCGGCTCCAGCGGCTCCCTGTGGGGCCGCGCAGGGCAGAGACTCATTAAACTGGGAGGCACTTTGGATGAAAGCAGCGGCCTGGAGCCTTAATGTGCATCTCACAGAGAGACAGAAAATAAAAAATTAAAAAATGCCCGCATCGTCTTTAACATTTCACTCACGCTCCTAAAAACTTCATGAGAATGTAGGACACGGAGATGCTGCGGGGCTGGACGAGCAAAAATAATCCCGCTGAAGCAGAGCGCAGCGTGGAGACACCAAGTCGCTCCAAAAGCACAGATTCTCGCACATGTGGGCTCAAACGCAGCCCGGTACCGAGGCTGTTTACGCGCTCTAACGCTCCCAGCAGACACTCCCTGTCAACGGTCCGGCTCCACATGGCCCGTATCAGCGGCCACTGGATGTCCGCAAGCGCACATGAGCGCACCACGAAACGCGCTCACTGTGGACACAAACAGCGCAGGACAGTGGAGGAAAACGCGTCTTACCTTGTTGTTCTAGTGCCGGTGTGCGCCTGAAGCGATGCGCATAGTATCTGGTGTCGGTGCGAAGGGCTGGAGGAGGAAACTGTCCGCTGCTGCTGCGCTCCGCCGCTCCGTCCGTCCGTCCGTCCGTCCCCGCTGCTCGACTCTCTCCCTCTCTGCCTCCACCTCACCCCGACACACTCAACCAACTGCGCACACACACTTGCACGCGCGCGCACGCGCATGAAGCGCGCAGCCGGGCGGGGTGCCCAGGAGCGCGGTTTATCCTCGGGGGCGCGGATGGATGTGGAGAGGAGACGTGTGCCTAAGAGAAGAAAAAGAAGAAGAGGGTTAAAGGAGAAATAAAGGACATAAATCAAAAGGAGGAGAATTTTTTATTTTATTTTTTTAAAGAAAAGGATAAAGGAGAGAAGCAAGGATGAGTGAGGTGGAGGAAGGAAAGAGGACAGAGGAGATGATGGAGACGAAATTAGGAGATTAATTTAAGAAAGTAAAAGACAGATTAAACAGAGAAAAGATGATGGAAAAGGCAGAATAATAAAGGAGAAGAGTGAACGGAGGAGGGAGTGGCTGCATTAGAGGAGAGCTGGATGGCATTAAAGAGGACAGCAGAGGAGATCATGGAGGAGAAATTAAAATATCATTTAAGAAAGTAAAGGAGAGAATTAAAAGAGGAGAGACGATGGAAAAGAGTAGAGAGAAATGAGGAGCATTAAAGGAAAGAAGAAGAAGGAAAGCAGAGCAGAGAGGGAAGGGGAAGAAATGATGGAGGAGAAATTAGGAGATTCATTTTGGCAATTAAAAGAGATTAAAAAGATGAAGTTAAAGGCAGGAGAGGAGGAAAGAAAGGAGACTAATGAAGGAGATGAAAAAGAAGAGGAAGGAAATTAAAGGAGAGCTGAAGAAGGAAGACAGCAGAGGAGACAGGGAAGGAGAACTCAGGAGATTAAAGATGAAGGAAGAGGCAGAACAGAAAGGAGATGAAAGAAATTTAAAGAAAACTGAAGACCAGCAGAGTAAATTGCAGACTGATTACCAGGATGTTCTGCAGCCGTCCCTGTTTTCTAATATGAGACACCATATTCTACATGTTAATACCCGACACCGTAACATCTAAATCTGGACTTTAGCGGCCTGCACAGCTGGACGTCTCCTCAGTTAACCTGATAACCGAGCAGGCGCTGTGGCGGAGAGAAGCCGAGGCATTTGTCAAACTATCGAGCAGAGCCAATTACTTAGCCGGTGTGCGACGTTTCAGCTCAGCTCCGACTGCTGACCAAGCAGCCGGCAAGTACAGTCGGTCAATCAGGCTGCCTGCACTCAGACACTGTGCTCTAAATCCTCCCAGAGTCCATCACTGCCTCCTCCTCCTCCACAGGACCTCCTTCTCTGCTTCATCCAATCTCAGTCCTTTCATTTCTGTAGTTTTACTTTACAGCCTCCTCTCACTGCTCGTGAACGGGACATTCTTCAGCCTCTTTTTTGGCACAACTACAGGCTCAGCAGTAAATGTTCACATAAGAAGTATCAAGTACTGTAAGTCTTGGTGCTCCGTAAAAAATAAATTCAAAAAAACAGCCCCGTATCATCACACTACTTCTGCTCTTCACCATCAGGACCATGCATCCACTGTGGGAGTCAGGTTCACGGCCAACGTGTTGGCCTCCATCTGGGCTGATCGTATTTATCTTGGTCTCATCTGAACCAAACAACATTCATCAGGCTGCTTTTCGTGTTCTTCATCTTGAAGTTCAGGGAGAAAGAGCAAGCAGAGGTTTTCTTCTTGTCCTCCATCAGCAGTGGTTGATGTTATGAAGTGTCCTTCAGGCCGTCTGAGCTTCAGAGAAACTGGTTTCTGTTGATGACGCCTGGGCCAGTCTGAAGCAGCTGCCGTCTGTTTTAAAGATAAGATAAGATGAGATGAGATGAGATGAGATATGAGGAGAAGAGAGGAGAGAAGAGGAGTGTTTATTAATCCCACAGTGCAATTTGTTTTAGCCTTGGATTGTGAAAGTACGAAGTGTGTGAGAAATGTTCCAGGACTGGTGTCACAAAAGATAGATTTCAAATCCAAACTACAAACTACCAGTTGTCTCCTTCCAAGTAATCCCCCTGGAGTCTAACACACTTTCCCAGCCTTCTTTTCTCTGCCACCATGCACTCCTGGAAGGATTCTTCTCCTCAGCTCCGTGGTCACAGCCATCCTGATGTTGTCTTCTAAACTTCTAAACCCCTTGAGCTTTGGGAAGAGGAACCAATCCCACGGAGCCAGGTGGGGTGAGTAGGGAGGTTGCTCCAGCACGGAGATGTTCTTCTCAGCCAGGAACTGTGCTCAGGGCGTTGAGAGTCATGGTGAAGCAGCCACCACTGGTCCTGCCACAACTCTGCCTCTTCTCTGAACGAAGCAAACGTCTCAGGATCTCTTTGTAGACGTGCTGGTTGATCGTCTGAAGGGGAAAACATCTACTGTGACACCAGTCCTGGAACTTTTCTGACTCACCGTCTGTGGGGTCAATCAGGAGCTGCAGTCCTGATCAGAGCTACTGTGGTTCCTTCTAGACTTACTGCTGCTGTGTTCCTCTGAGCTGTAGTAGATCTTCCTGGATCCTTTTCTATCATTGTGAGGTACAATCAGGTTCATCCACTGTTTTTTAAACTTCTTTTCCATGTGGAGCCATAATGAAGACATGCAGATGGACACAGCTCATGGGTCTGAAGCTGAGAAGGTTCTGCTGTTCACAGCTCTGTTGAGAACCTTGTTTATGCAGCTGGACTGACTGGAAATCACAGGTGGACTCAGTTTAACTTTAACTGAAGGTTCTTGTGTGACTTTGATTCCTTGTGTTCCTGCTAGTTTAACATTACCATCTCTACTTCAGGATATTTCCACTCAGCTTTAGATCAGAGCTACTTCAAGTGGTCCTCACAGCGGCTAGCATCTATATGAGAGACGATGTTTTATTCCAGCGATTCTATTATTATTCTGTGCAGCCACGTGTACTCTGACCTGCATCAAAGCAGCGATTCAAAGATTAGCTTCTGCCTCGCAGGCTGTTGTTATGATCAGGTCTTTTGTGTAGACGCCTTTATTGAGTGAATTGTTGAAGGACTGTCATTACAGGACGAGGAGCTTAATGTGTTTTCAAGAAGACGACAGTGAGGTGAGAGTAACCTGCTAGAGTTCACTAATGCAGGAGCATCGCCGGCAGCAGGGCAAACACAGATAACAAAGGGCTTCTTTACCAATAGTCTATTATTCCTGAAGAGTGGGATGTTCCCTGTTATTAGTTATTATATCATAAATGATAATTTCAGGATAAGATAATGTTCGGTTAAATAACTGTTAATTTATTGTATTTTTTGTTTATTTAAATACAGTAAAAAAAAAAATAAAATCAAAAAGTGTAATTTTACGGTCAATCATTATGAAAAAACACAAATTATTTTGATGTTTACATTATTAACCGGACTGTTTGTTATTCATGGTTAATGCAAATTCATCACTCTGTGACATCATCTGTAATTTAACAAATCAGGGAAAATCTGTAAAATAACAGGAAATTGGAAAAAAAAAATACAGATTAATATTGTTTCTACTGGATGTAAATCAGCAAAAAAAATATTTATTTGACATATGTTTGCAGTCATCTGTAAGAAAAAAAAAACTGTAAAAGGTTAAATCATTTTTAAACAGTTTTGTTAAATTACAGATAATATCTAGTAAAAGCCCATTTTTTCCAATCTTAACGTGGATCATTTATCTTTCAAATAACAGCAAATATGTGTAAAATTCATATGTAAATAAAGTTAAAAAATTGCACAAATTTACAGTCAATTGTAAAAGAACAAATCAGTAGATTTGTGGATGCAGACATTACTAATTGGCCTGGATGTTATTTAACATTAACGTAAATGTGTTATTTCTAATTCATTATCTGTAATTTAACAAAACAGAAAAAGTCTGGAAAATAACTTCAACCTGAACAAAATCATAAAACTACTGTATTTAAATCAGCCAAAAATATCATTATTCCACAAATATTTTCTGTTATTTGCAAAAAATAAATAATAAATAATAAAACAGTTTGGTTTTTTTAAGGTCCTGTTTTTGGGACTATCGCAGCTGATTTTTCCTCTTTCTTTATGGTTTTGTTTTTGGTTTTGTTATTGTTTTTTTACAGTGTCCGGCATGCAACTTTAATTAAATAGAAAACAAAGAGGGAACACGTTGGTGACATGACCCCAGCTTGACCTCTGAGCTGCATCACACCATTAAAACAGAGGATTAACACACAAACACAAAGTCAGAGGTCTCTGCAGCACAAGTCGCTGACCTCCTTCCACTTCTGGGTCAAATAATTAGTGCACATCTCCACACAGGCTCCAATTCACACGCAGCAAAAGCACATGCGAAGCCACAAAACACACACAGACGCACAAACAGATGAGCCTGAGCTGAATGAGACAAACACAAACAGTCGGAGGAGGATCGGCCTGCAGCGGATAACCGACGATGCGACGGATCACATGAGTCCCGGCATGTGAGCACCGAGCAATCATGCTATTGTGGTGATTATGCAAATGAGCGCAGGCAGCGGCGGCGGCGGAAGACTCCTCTATAAATAACGTGTTTATCATTAAATCATAGGAGGAGGGAGCTGAGGAGTCATGTAGAATCAGACGCAGGTCCCGGACGTCTTTCATGTTCCTGGGCTTTAATAGGTTGTACGTTAGCGCTGAAATCCCATCTGATGTTCATGGTAATAACACATTTCTGCTGTAGTTCAGGTGACGTTTCAGCCTCATTTGACGGTTTTACAGCATATCGCACCACAGGGGGGCTTTTAGCAGACACAAGGTCTAACTGCACACAGAAACACTGTCTTTTATAAACTAATCCATTTCTAGGCTTTGTGATGTGTTGATTTAATAACACGTCTTCTGTCAGACCAGAGGAGAAAATGTACAAAACACACTGAAGTGTTTATTTTACAACATTTCATCTATTAGTCATACGGGTAAATCACCACATATTTAATTTGATTATTTAAAGATAAAATGTCAGAGAACTACAAAAAAATGT